CAGCAACCTGGGTTCGATTCCGCCCTCGGACGACTGTCTGTGTGGAGTTTGCACATTCTCCCCGTGTCTGCGTGAGTTTCCTCTGGCCACCTAACCTACAAAGATGTGTAGGTTGGGTGAATTGACCATGCTAAATTGCCTGTAGTGTCCAGGGCTGTGTAAATTAGGTGGATTAAATTAGATTAGGTGGGAAATGCAGGGTTACAGGGAAAGGGTAAGGGGATGGGTCTGGGTGAGATGCTTTTCGGAAGGGCGGTGTGGACTTGTTGGGCCAAATGGCCTGTTTCCACACCATAGGAATTCTCTGATAAACAAAGGCAAAGGACACCTTTCTGATATGGTTAGAGTCACTGTGTTAACTCTAAAGATGAATTACCAGTCTGACTTTTTTTTCCCACTCTTTGCGATCCAGGTGTAGCAAATTACTTATTTGACAATGTCCCACCTTTAACCTCTTAAGACATCAGGTTGCAAATTAAATATGACCTGAAAAGTAAGTTCCTATGAACAAACTTGTTATACCTTTTCTAAATGCTTTCCATATATTAAAATTAAAACAAATACAGAGTAATGAAAGCACAAAACAGTTCAGAATGGATCAATTCTATTTGAATACACAAGGTACTACTATCAAATATTCTCATCTATATTTAACTATGAACTGCAGATAGCAAAAAATAAAGAACTTTCAAATAAATACTGCCTTACTAAACTCTTAGGATATTGCAAAATGCTTTGCAGCAAATGGATTCGTTTTGAAGTGTAGTGCTTGTTCCAATGAAGACAAACTTGGCAATGTTCATACAGCAGAAGTACACACACAGAAAATGAGTAAACACAAAATTGGATAAGTTGCTGGTTGATGTATTTTTGTTGGCGTTTGTTGAATTAAGTGTCTTCACCAGGATATGAGATATTCTCCATGTTTTAATTAATGCATTGACATCTTTTTACCTCAGTAAATAAATCCAAGTTTAAAAACTGCACCTTGGCAATGTCATGAATACCATGACTAATTATCAACCCAGATTATGTGACGAAATCTCTGGAATGCAGTAGATAATTGCAAGCCAATAATATGTCAGACACATCAAAATTAAATTAGTGCTGATGATTTGATCGTCTTGCTCCTTTTAAAATAGATATGTGTTGAAATTAAATTCTACAATGTTGACGTGCAAAACCTAATTAAAATCACAGAAGGCAAGTTATTCAATGCACATGTTAAATACCAAAAGGGATCAGTTTGGATGATGAAGATTGTATACTTCCATTCCATAACATAATTTTTCAGTTGATACTGTCTCTAAGAGGAAAGCTTTTGAATGTTATGAGCAATGCAAATGGTATGAATACCTTCCACAGTTTTTGCTTAATCACTGTGATGACAGAAAGTAGGAAATTTGTTGTCAATTCAATTTACATCAATTTTATAATGCACCCAGTTTAAGTGGGATAGTTTCCTCCTTCCTAAATCTACCCAAATTTTGTGGCATTAAATGTGTATTTTGTAAGATTAGGAAGTTTAGAATATCTAGAATATTGAGTTAAGATGCATTGATCTGGATTAGGTTTGTTTCTTTCATCCATATAACTGCTTTTTGAAATTTTACACCTCTTTGATTATCATTTCCAATTAAATGGTTTATTTCTAATCAAAAATCTCCTGTTGAAGATCAACACAAAATAAAATTCCATCATCTATCTATAAGAAAATAAGAACAAAAGAAATAGAATCAGGAGTAGATTAAATGATTCTCTTACCCAATACAGCCACTAGCATGGTTCGGTTGATCCTCTATCTCAAATCCACTTCCCCACCGGATCTCCATATCACTTGATTCACTGAGAGATCAAAACTGTCTCAGCCTTAATTGTACTCAGCAATGAAGGATTCCAACAATTCACAACTCTGAGTTGCTCCTCATTTCAATCCTAAATAATCCCATTGAGAAAAGCAGGTGAAAGGAAAGTAAGCACAATAAATGACATGACAATAGCTATAGTCATTTATCCTGTTGTCAAATCCAGGTGACTAGGCTGTATGGGGCATAGAGCAGGGGGCGTTGCAGGAGGAATTTTGGGAGATCAGAGATTTTCCAGTTAGGGGTATTTCTGTGGATTTAGCTGTTAATCCAAGATTGTATGTGTCTGTCTGGTGCCAGGTTCAAAGCTGCTGCTGAGTGGCTGCAAAACAAACTCAGTGGGAAGGTGAACAGCCTCCAAGTGTGGTCTATGTCAATAACAACAGCATTGGTAGAAAGAGAGATGAGATCCTCCATGCACATTTTAGGGAGCTTTTTTTTTCTTTGTCTTTATTCATCCTTGGGATGTGGGTATTGTGGGTAAGGCCAGTAGTTGCTGCCCATCCCTGGTTGCTTTTGAGAAGGCTTCATGAACCACTGAGGTCCATGTAGAATAGTATACCCATAGTGCTGTTAGGGTGGGATTTCCAGGATGTTGATCAATCACAGTGAAGGAATGATGATATAGTTTAAAAGCAGGACGGTGGGGATAGTGATAGATTTCAAGAGGGCATACCCTGGTGAAATGGGCAGTCACATGTTAAATAAAACTTAAAGCATGGAAGAGACTAATTGTGGAAGAAAGAGGAGAGACTAGGTAACAAAAGGTATAATTCCTAGTAAGAGACTTCAAGATCAGAGTGTCCTAAAATGTACTTACGTAAATTGTTGAATGTGATGGGTTAAGTTCAGAAAGCAATTATTAAGGCATATGGAATCCCAAGCATCATAAATAAAAGCCTGCAGCAAACATTTATGAAGAATTGTTTCACTCTGTGGAAAGGATGTGAAGATATTTTTGAGAGGGTACTGAAGAAATTCATGATATCGATACTGGGGTTGAGGTATTTCAGTTAGGCAGGTAGATTAAACAAACTGGGCTTGTTCTCAGAGGAAAAGTTGACAGACAGTTTGACAGACCTGATCAAAATCATGAGCAGGCTAAAGGATAGACAGAAACTGTTCCCATTGACAAAAGGCTCCAGAACCAGAGATAACAGATCTTTTTCATTTGTTAATGGGATAAGGGCATCACTGGCTATGCCAGCATTTATTGCCCGTTCTTAGTCGCCTTTGAGAAAGTGGCAGTGAACTGATATTTTGAACCACAGCAGGTCATTTGCTGTTGGTACATCAACAAAGCTGCTAGGAAGGGAGTTTCAGGATTTTGACTCTGTGGCACTGACAGAATGGTGATATATTTACAAGTCAGGATGGTGAGTGGCTTGGAGAGGAAGTTGCACATGGTGACATTCCCTTGTATCTACTGCCCTTGTCCTTCTAAGTGATAGATTTGGAAGGTGCTGTTTCAGGTGAGTTGTTGCATCTTGTAGATGGCACTGATACTACTGAGCATTGGTAGTGGAGGCAGTGGATATGGTGCAAACCAAGTGGGCTGTTTTGTCCTGGAATGTGTCAAACATCTTCAGTGTTGTTGGAGCTGCATCCATCACACTCCTAAAATGTGCATTGTAAATGGCGGACAGGCTTTGGGGAGTGAGGAGGTGAGTTATTTACTGCAGTATTCCTAGCTTCTCATTTCAGATATAAAGGGAATTGCAAATTAAACTGCAAGAACAAAATACTTTTGGATTGTGATTTGGAATGCATTTGAGAACATGGAAGGCGCAATGTCAATAATATTTGGAAAGAGAACTATAGTCTAGAGTCAGAGTCATGCAGCACAGAAAATACCATTCAGCCCAAAGAGTCTGTACCAACAATAAGTACCTCTAAAGGCATGCTAATCCCAGTTTCCTGAACTTGTCCCATACCTTGAAGGTGATGATATTTTAAGTGATCATGGCAGGATTTAGACACTTAATGGTTAGGTCCTGCGGAGTGTTGCTGATAAAGAGACTTTGGAGTGCGGGTTCATAGTTCCTTGAAAGTGGAATCGCAGGTAGACAGGATAGTGAAGAAGGCATTTGGTATGCTTGCCTTTATTGGTCAGTGCATTGAGTATAGGAGTTGGGAGGTCATGTTGCAGCTGTATAGGACATTGGTTAGGCCACTTTTGGAATAATGCATTCAGTTCTGGTCTCCCTGTTATATAAAGGATATTGTGAAACTTGAAAGGCTTCAGAGAAGAGTTAAAAGGAAGTTGCCAGGATTGGAAGGTTTGAGCTTTGGGGAGAGGCTGAATAGGGTAGAGTTACTTTCCCTGGAGCGTTGGAGGCTAAGGGTGACCTTACAGAAGTTTATAAAATCATGAGGGGCATGGATTGGGTGAATAGCCAAAGTCTTTTCCCGAGGGCAGGGCAGTCCAAAACTAGAGGACACAGGTTTAAAGAGAAAGGGGAAAGATTTAAAAGGGACCTAAGGGACAACTTTTTCATGTAGAGACTGGTGTGTGTATGGAATGAGCTGCCAGAGGAAGTGGTGGAGGCTGGTACAATTACAATATTTAAAATGCATCTGGATGGGTACATGAATAAGAAGGGTTTAAAGGGATGTGGGCCAAATGCAGGCAAAGGGACTAGATTAATTTAAGATATCTGGTCAGCATGGATGAATTGGACTCAAGAGTCTATTTCCATGCTGGACAACTCCAAGACTCTATGCTCATCCAAATATTCTTTAAAGATTGTAATGTTTCTGGCCTCCACTACTATCCCAGGCAGTGCATTCCAGATTCCCACTGCCCTCTGAGCGAAAATCGGAAAAGCACCTGGATGTAAAACAAAGTGGGGCTTTTGCGGAAATCGGCTGGTGCGGGATTAAGTGTGTTTCTGATGCAGTCACTTTTGCAGAGAGTTCAGGGATCTCGTTCTATGATTTTATGTCTGTGAATTTCGCGAAGTAATCTAATAATAGTCCAGAACAGCACATGTTTTTGTTCCTGATTTACAGCATCCGCAGTTCTTTCGGTTTTTATTTAGTAAAAGTCGAACATTGCGATTCAAATATTGTGCCATTTCTTCCCAACAGTGGAATTCCTACCTTCTCGCTTGGACTTGTTCACTTCCTCAAGCCAGCAAAGCATACCACCAAGAGAACACCTCGGTGCTAGTAAATATTGCAGCAAGAGTTTCGAGATAGATATGCCAGCTGCTGTCAATTCCCAGCACTTGAAACGTAGAGAGCGGTAGGAGACGAATTGTTTTTGTTCATTCGATGGTAATGAGAGTGCCGTCATTGAAAAAAGGCGGAGATTCTGGCTTGAGTTTACATGAATCTGGTTGCGGGTTCCCCGTCTCTACTCAGTCTGTGGCTACTACCACCGGAAGGGTAAGTGCAGAACTCGATTTCCAAATCCAGTGGGCTTTTCTTCAGCTGTGAGAGACTGCTGCAAGGAAACTGAGTGTAAGAGCAGCTGAATTCTTTCCTGTATCAAAATCTCATTCTGGTTTGAGTGCAGCCTGAACCCTCGTCCCAGGTCAAGACATTTCAACGATTTTTAGGGGAAGGGTTCTGAAAATTCTGGGACCCGAAACGTTAACTCTTGGTTTTTTTTCCTTCACAGATGCTGCCAGACCTGCTGAGTTTTTCTAGCAACTTCTGTTTTTGTCAACGACTTTAGTGTAAGGGTGTAGCAGTGCTGGTTTCCTGCCTGCAGGGCTCATTATTCGTTGATTTTACTTAAGATGTTTCCTAAGAATTATAGTGATTGTATGTACACTTTATTTTATGAATCAAGTATATTTTCTCAGTAGGGAAAAAGAAGAACTATATGTCCAAGCTAGAACTATTGGAGCATTTGTCCCAATGTCTGGGAATTTCTGATCCTGCTGTAGCGGTGAAGGTTAAAATCTTACCTGTCTGTATAGCTCTGGCATTGGAGCCACTTGCTGCTCACAAATTCTCTCCCGCGGTTGAGAGGGTTCATCTACCCCAGTGGTAGAATTCCCTAGCTCTGGGCTTAAAGGTTTCATATTCAAGTCCCGCCTGTCACTGAGGGTTTGTCACAACATGGCCAAACAGGTTGATTTAAGCTTTTTCTTCTAACTTCCCCATACAGCCACGGAAACACAAGCCCCCTCATTCACCATGCAGTGATTGAGAGTGGGTGTGTGGTCTGATTTGGAGTTTGGGGGGAATGGATGGTCTGTGGGAAAGGGGGGAGACTGAGAGGAATGCAGTTTGGGTCGAATGAGAGATTTGAGAATGGGATTGACATGGAGGTCAGACATAGTAAGACGTGGAGGTTCTGACTTCAGAGTGAAAGGGGAGAGAGGGGAAGAATGAGATCTGGATTTCGGGCATCAGTTTTTTTTTAAGGAGTGTTGGAGGAAACTTATTGGGGATTTCCCTGATTTTTACTCTATGGAACTGTAAGCAGCATTGAGCTGAACGAGGGCTGTCCCGTGTTAAGTGAGGGTAAGCAGTAAAGGACGGTGAGTGAAACCTGAGTACTTTAACCAAGATATACAATGCAACATTATTTATGCCTGTAGCCAAGTGCAGAACAAAAAGCCTGGGCCTGAATGAGGAAAGAGAGAAGGCAAATTCTTCAACTGAGAATGATTGGATCATGAAAACTATCACTCCATTGGTGCTTGAAACATCATTTCTATATTAGTTCTGTGATTTTAAAAGGCCCAGGATAAATATTTAAATGCTAGGAGTATATAAAGGTCCGCGGAAAGAGCGAGTGAGCAATAGTGACAATAAAACCAACTCCAATGCTGTAATTTCAATCATTCTGTGAAAACGTGCCCTTTATTGCCTCTGAGCCAAAGAATTGGTTGAAAGTTATAGGTGCTGAGCTGACAATGTATTGTGTGAGAAATACCCCAACCCACAAGCATTTTGTATGTTTGGTTGAGGTCAGTCAGTTTTGATTTATGAAGTTCGAATATAAATTCTGACGAAAGCTTTCAGTTTGGAATTGATATCGTGACAGCTATTACATTCAACCTGATACAGATCTGGGATGTCATACCTCTGTTGAAAATAAGGATTGTCTATTAGATTGCAACACAATGTTAGGGAGCGACTGTGCCATCAATTTATCAGTTGCTTCATCTTACCTTTTTAAATTCCTCTTCTGTCTGGATTTCCTGGTTTGGCTAGTCCTTAAAACCATTGCTGGTTTGAGATCACAAAACGCTTAGGAGGGTTTTGTGGTGCAGTGGTAATGTCCCTGGGCTAGGAGTCCTGGGTTCAAATCCCTACCTAATCTGGTGATATGTCATAATGTGTTTGAGCAAGTTGGTTTAAAACAAAGCTGAATTTTAAAATTAATTGGGCTTATAAAATCATTTTTGGCATGGACTGGTTGGACCGAAGGGTCTGTTTCCACACTGTATAACTATAACTATGACTGTAGGGTCCTAACTCTTCTAAGGTAAATGCAATAGCATTTTCAAGCATAGGAACATCATGAGAACAGTTTTCAAGGCGAGTGCCAAATCAAATTTGCAACCCGAGTTAGCACCTAAACCCATAATCTAAAGCAGGGCTTTCCAAAAATCAGGGTCAAGACCCCAAAGGGGTGTTGCAAACTAAAATCTTTGGGCCTCAAGATTTGAGGCAGTAATAGCTCTTGTGGAGCTTAGGCCAAGTTACAACTGCTGTCCTCCTGCTGTAACAGGCCCCTGTTCACTCCATTCTCATGGATGGATCGCAGTAAAATTCAAGGCACTAAATGGGGTTACATTGCAAAAACATTTGGGAAGCACTGATCTAAAGATGAAGCAAATATAACAAGTGCGATCATTTCCTGACTGGTTATCAAAGTCATATTGTTGAAAAATTACACACCACCTTTAGAAGCAATCCCTAGTTTGCCAGGGAGAGTGGGACCTGAAGCAGTAGAAGGTTGAGGCTGGTACAGAAGTTGAAGAGAACAAGTTAAATAGACAAGGCAGGCTAGATCATGACAGAGGATGAGGGAAGACTGATGAATTAAAATGCATTCATTTCAAGGCAAGAAGCCTGACAGGAAAGGCAGATGAACTCCGGGCATGGATGGGAAGTGGGACTGGGATATCATAGCTATTACAGAAACATGGCTGAAGGAGGGATCAGACTGACAGCTCAGTGTTCTGGGATATCAGTGATACTGCAGGAAGGATAGAAAGGGAGGCAAGAGAGCTGGGGGAGTGATGTTTTCGTTTAGGGGAAAACATCATTGCAGTACTTAGGGGGGATATTCCTGTGGGATTGTCCAGTGACACTTAATGGGTGGAACTGAGAAATAAGAAGGGGGTGATCACTTTGATGGGATTGTACTATAGGCCCTCCAATAGTCAATGGGGAATTGAGGAGCAAATATGTAAGGTGATTGCAGGTAGCTGTTTAGAATAGTAGTGTTGTAACAGCAGGGGATTTTAATTTGCCAAACAGGCTGGGACTGCTACAGTGTTAAGGACTTTGGTGGGGAGGAATTTGTTAAGTATGTTCAAGAACACTTTCTCAATCAATGTGCAGATGGCTCTACTACAGAAGGGACAAAACCTGATCTCCCCTTGGGAAATAAGGCAGGGCAAGTGAACTGAGGTGTTACTGGGGGAGCTCTTTGGGGCCAGTGACCGAAATTCTATTATTTTAAAAATAGTTATGAAAAAAGATAGGTCTGGTCCACAAGTTAAATTTCTAAATCGGGGGCAAGGTCAATTTTAATGGTGTTAGACAGGAATTTGCAAAAGTTCATTGGGTGAAGCTGTTCACAGGTAAAGGGATGTCTGACAAGTGGGAGGCTTTCCAAAGCAAGATAACAAGAGTTCATGGACAGCATGTTCCTGCTAGTGTGAAGGGCAAGGCTGCCAGGAGTAGGGAAACATAGGGTGACTATAGATAATGAGGTTCTGGTCAAGAAAAAGAAGGAGGCACATGTCAGGTACAGACAGCTGGGGTCAAGGAGTATAGTGGGTGTAGGAGTACACTTAAGAGGGAAATCGGGTGGGCTAAGTGAGGGGAGGCAATGGCCTAATGGTATAGTCGATGGGCTGTTAATCCAAAGACCCAAGTGATGTGGACCTGGGTTCAAATCCAACCATGGCAGACGGTGGAACTTGAATTCAATAAAAATCTTCAATTAAGAGTCTAATGATGACCATGAAAATATTGTCAATTGTCAGAAAAGCCCTTCTGGTTCACTAATGTCCTTTAGGGAAGGAAACTGCCATCTTCAACTGATCTGATTTACATGTGACTCCATATATCATAATAATGTGGTTGACTCTTAACTGCTCTCTGGGCACTGAGGGATGGGCAATAAATGCTGGCCTAGCAATGTTACCCTCCTCCTATGAATGATTCTTTTAAAATAAAAGGGATATGTGATAGCTTTGGCAAATAAGGTTAAGGAGAATCCAAAGAGATTCTACAAGTACATTAAGCACGAATGAGTAACTGGGGAGAGAATAGCACCCCTTAAAGGTCAACGAGGCTGATTATTTGTAGAATCACTGCAGATGTGTGAGCTACTAAACAAATATTAGTATTTACTGTGGAGAAAGACATGAAAGTTAGGAAACTCAGGGAAATAAATAGTGATGTCTTGAAAAGAGTCCACATTACAGAAGAGGAGGTGCTGGGGGTCTTTGTGACCTGATCAAGTATAATCCCAGAAGACTGTGGGAAGCTAGGGAAGAAATTATGAGGTCCCTAGCAGAGATATTTGTGTCATCAACATTCATGGGTGAGGTGCTGGAAGACTGGAGGTTGGGTAATGTGCTATTATTTAAGAATGGCTGCAAGGAAAAGCCAGGGAACTACAGACTAGTGAGCCTGACGTCCGTGGTGAGTAATTTGTTGATGACGATTCTGAGTGGATCTACATGCATTTGGTCAAGTAAGGAATAAGGGATAGTCAGCATGGCTTTGTGTGGGAAATCATGTCTCCCAAATGTGATTGAGGTTTTAGAAGACGTGACCAAGAATTTAGATGAAGGCAGAGCAGTAAACATTATCAAATGGACTTTAGCAAGGACCTCAACAAGGTTCCACACGGTAGAATGGTTAGTAAGGTTAGATCACATGGAATCCAGGGAGAGCTAGCCAATTGGATATAAAATTGACTTGACAGTAGGAGACAGAGGGTGATGGTAAAGGGTTGTTGTTCAGACTGAAGGCCTGTGACCAGCGGTGTGCCACAAGGATTGGTGTTGGGTCCACTGTTGTTCATCACTTGTATATACAATTTGGATGAGAATATAGGAGACCGCTAGTAAGTTTGCGGATGACCCTGAAATTAGTGAGAAAGTCGACAGTGAAGAAGGTTATCCAAGAGTACAACAGGGTCTTGATCAACTAGGCCAGTGGACTGAGGAATAGACGGTGGAGTTTAATTTTAATTAAACATGAGGTGTTGCATTTTAGTATGAAAAACTAGGACAGGACTTAGACTGTTAATGGTAGAGCCTTGGAGAGTGTTGTCAAATAGGAACCTAAGGGTGCAGGGAAATGGTTCCTTGAAAGTCTTGCCTCAGGTAGACTGGGTGATGAAGATGTTTGGCAGGCTTGCTTTCATCAGTCAGAGCATTGAATACAGGAGTAATTCTGTTCACCCGTCTGTAGGAAGGATGTTATTAAACGGGGGGAAAAAAATTTACAAGGATGTTACCAAGATTGGAGGGTTCGAGTTATAAGGATAAGCTGAGACTTTTGTCCCTGGAGCGTAAGAGCCTGAGGGGTGACCTTAGAGTTGTTTTAAAATCATGAGGGGCATAGACAAAGTGAATAGTCAAGGTCTTTTTCCCAGGGGGAGGGAGTCCAAAACTATGTGTAAAGTGAGAGGAGAAAGATTCAAAAGGGACCAGAGGGGCAACTTTTTCATACAGAGGGTGGTACGTGTATGGAACAAACTGACAGATTAAGTGGTAGAACAAGTATAATTACAGCATTTAAAAGACATTTGAATAGGTACATGGATAGGAAAGGTTTAGAGGGATATGGGCCAAATGCTGGAAAATGGTTCTGTTTAAAAAACCGGGTTGGCATGGACAGTTGGACCACAGGGCCTGTTTCCATGCTGTATTTTTTCCCCCCTTTATTCATTCACTGGATGAGGGCATCGCTGTGTAGGCAGCATTTATTGCCCAGAGGGCAGTTCAGAGTCAACCACATTGCTGTGGGACTGGAATCACATGTAGGCTGGACCAGGTAAGGATGGCAATTTCCTTCCCTAAAGGACATTTAAAACTATAAAATCCCAGAATATGATGCCACTAGCAATTTCTATTATTATTTAACAGTTTGCCATAAATTCTGAAAATCTCTTTTGCACTCCACTAATGGCCTTGCTGAAGCCAAGCCAAATTGATAGACTCAAAGTTCCATGACCTGGCTTATCTCACTTAACTCTTTGTGAATAAAATATACAACATTAGTGAGTCTAGGACATGTACCTTTCTTCATGTCTCTGTTGCTGTGTTTAGCCTGATTTATTTTTCACGAGTTCTCTAGAAAAGGCCATTATATCACTAAAAATTCCTGAATTATCTTTCCTTTACTTTTGTTTATTGTTACTAACATTTCTTTCTAAACTTGACTGCTGGTTGCCAAATGTTCCACAAATCCTGCCAGAGGTGTTTGATGGTGTTTTTTATCTTTTCCAGATGAGGAGACATACTTGCTTTGTGTTGCTTTTTATTGCTGCCACCGTCCCAGTGTATGTTCTGGGATATTCTCATGGGCGAGTCAGTAGTGCCTGTGCTACCATGCGTCCCAACCATTCTGGAAGTAATGCACAATCAACAAATCTACCTTATCAAATCATTGCAAGTAGCAGCACTTTTAACCCAGGGGATACAATCCAAGGTACAACTTCAGTGAATCTATTAAATACGCTGTTGAAATTTTTTTTCAAGCACAATCTGTCTATGACCCATCTGATAAGACTACAGATATTGTATCGGAAAACACTATTCTGTTTCATATAACTTATACAAAACCTGCTTTTGACTAGTCTCCCTTTTGAATGATCAAATAGTACTTTGTTCATCTATAGTTACAAGGGTGAGTCTCAAAATTCCACTTTAGTTTTAGTGCCTCACTTGATAACATGCTGGAGAGGTGTTGTGCATTTGTGTGTGTTAGCTTTGTTACTTTGTCCATGATGTTAGCTCATAAGCTACTAACCTGTCATGACAAGATAGTAACTTACGAAGAGACTGAGCACACATCTGTACTTGACCAAGAGTAATATTATACCCTTGGAACTTTGGCTTTATTGATCAAAAAGGAAATTGCAGATTCTAACTCCGAGTGACAGGGAGGTGATGGCCTAATGGTATTCATCACTAGACGATTAATCCAGAGACTCAAGTAATGTTCTGGGCACCTAGGTTTGAATCCTGCAATGACAGATGGTGGAATTTGAATTCAATACAAAATCTGGAGTTAAAGGTCTACTGATAACCATGAAACCATTTTTGATTGGCAGGAAAAACCCATTTGCTCAGTCACTTTGAGTGCAGACTAATCCATGATTAAGATTGTATTGTACAATGAAGCCTTATAAGTTACAGATTCCTAAGGGACTGGTATGGCCGTTTTGCTTATTTGCTAATGTCCTTATTTTCAAAACTGTCATTGCACATACCTTTAATGTTTTTCAGTTGAACAGAGAACTCTTCATTCAGACTACATTGCACCAGAGAAATAACTCCATATCTGCTTAGGGGATGGCAGTGTATTGGTAATGCTACTATGCTAGTAACTCAGAAACTAATATGTATACTCTGCCTAGTAGTTAAAATCCCGCCACAGTAGATGGAAGAATTTAACTTCAGCTAATCAGTCAGCAATTAAGAAAGAAAAGTCTGAATAATTATGGTTATTGCAAATCACTTAAAAATCGATTTTTGTTCACTACTGCCTTTCATGGAAGCAAATCTACTGCTGTTAACCATCTGGCCCATGTGGGCTTCAGACCCACACCGATGTGTTTGACTCATAACTGCTCCCTGAAACGGTCTAGCAAACCACTCAGTTCTTGGCGGCTCATTAGCAACATGTGCTGGCCTTGGTAGTGATGCTTACGTTTCACAAATAAGAAAAAAATGTTGAGTAAACCTGCCACAAAAGGCTTTTCATTCACAAAACCTGTTCCTGCTTCACACTGACCTAATGAAATTTTGGGACAGAATGCAAGCAAACGGCCAGTGACAATGCCAATCATCCCAATTCAGTTAAGATTCCACTTACAGCAGCTTTATAATAGACTGGTCCTACGTCTTAAATTGTGAAAACCCTTGTTGGTAGCTTGTAATTTGTGTATTCATGGTTTAAGACAGCCTGTTGTGAATTTTATCAGGAAATTTATTTGTGTTTGCCTTTCAATAAATTATGATTCTTGCAGCTGAAGCATCAACTGGTTTAAATGTTTGAGGTATATTGTGTAAAATAAAACACTTTATTAAATTAGCATGTTTTGTTTAAGTGATGCTGCGAAGCAATCCAGGGACCACCTTCAAAGGATTTTTGCTGGAGGCTCGAGCAGCTGAATCTTCATCATCTGCAACACCACTTGGCACCTTCACTGAAATGATTGCAGATGCTCAACTCCTCAACTGCACTGTTACTGGGACTACCTACACAGTAAGTTGTTAGAAATTCTCTTTACAAATCGGGTGGTGACAAAAGAATCACAGAATCCCTACAGTATGGAAGCAGACCATTCGGCCCACACTGACCTTCGAACAGCATCCGCTCCAGCCCTACCCTGCTACCCTATCCCTGTAAACCTTCATTTCCCATGGCTAATCCTCCTAACCTACACACCCCCTGGACAGGGTGGGCAATTTAGTATGGCCAAACCACCTACCAGGCATATCTTTGGACTGTGGGAGGAAACTGGGGCACCCGGAGGAAACCCACGCAGACATGGAGAATGTGCAAACTCCACACAGACAGTCACCCAAAGGTGGAATTGAGCCTGGGTCCCTGGAGCTAACCACTGACCCACTGTGCCATCCTTTATTCTGGTCTGTTTTCTCCAGCAGTGAGTAACAGATTTATTTCTAACACCATTGTACACTTTAGGTACGTGCACAACTAGATACTTTTGAATTATAAGATACATTTTTTTTTTTTAAAACTTTCACCATTGCATTCTGCCCATATCGGAAGCAAAAGTTTGTGCTGGAGCACATAATGGAACTGGTTAGGAAGGAGAATGTGAATAAAAGCAAATAAATCAGTTACAGGGCCAAGATGTCTCTGCATTGGATGCCTTTGTGAAAGAGGTAGACAGAAGGTGAAATCCTATATCCACAGGGTGTTAGGAGGCCCTTCAGATGAACTATGTAACAGGAATGGGACTAGAGAGCCAGTTGTCACATCTTGAGAAGCTAAATGTACTGCTGCAAAAAGTCTAATGACCTTAGAATATTTCATCCAGTGAATTATATCTTCAAATGCCACATCTCAGGAGCTGCGCCACCAGCCTCACACACTGCTAAATACTATACACCAGTCACCAACAATTGCTATCAATCATAATTCATTGAATAATATGCATGTGCTTCACTTCATCCTCAATCACATGACACTGTGACAATCCTCACATGCACATTTCCCGACTTGCACAACTTGCTATTCTTCAACCACATCACCTGGGTAGACTGCACCCCACTTAATACGACTTGGCTTTCTCTTGCAGGCAGTGTATAACCAGAGGGCACTCTGAAATAACCAGAGAGGGGTCAGGTGTTCTTGCATGTCCTCAGTCCAGGGAGGAAATGGGTGTCTCCATCAGTGGTGCAGCCATTACCAAGATTGTAGTGAGGGTGAGGCTGAAACCATCAAAATGATGTTACAATGATAGTTATTCTGAAGTTTAAGTTTTGGAATAGGAGGTAAATTGTTAATTAGGAAATTGGCTGAGTGGAGATAATGATCAGATACTCTAATTGACAGCATGTAGCTAGTGGTGTAATGCATGGATTTAAATGAAACTTCAACTATTCACAATTTACACAAAGACAAATTTGGTGAACAATTTAGATGGAAGCATAACATTTGAAAAAATTAATGAATTAAATGAATGGTCAAAACAACAACAAATAGATTTCAACATCGACAAGTGTCAGGCCTCCCACATTGGACCTAAAACAAACAGAACACAGCACTTTCTAAATGTTGAAAAGCTGAAACTCTTAAAATTCTAAGAGGCTTTGGGGTTCTGCTACATAGGTCTTTAAAATGGCGGAAAACAATCAAGAAGAATTCTGGTGTTTGTATGTGGAGAGTTTCGATGCAAAGGAATAGAAGTTGTACTGCAACTATAAAAAAAGCTGTGGCTAAAGTATTGTGAGCAGTGCTTTGGACCACGCTTTAGGAAAGATAAGTTGGCCTTGGAGGGAGTGCAGAGTAGATTCATAAGAATTCACAAGATGGATTTTTGCAGGGTTGGGAAGACTCACTGGAATTTCAAAACTGATATTTGGACCCAAATGTGGCTGTTCCCTCCATTCCTGACAGATCCCATCTTTGTAAGGGAAAGTGGCGGAGCTGCCATTGGCATCCGAGAGAAACCAGAAATCAGTAGGGCCATTTGAACTCTGTGCTGAGCTCAGGCAAACCACATTTTGGCTGCTACGAGGAACTTAACCCACAGTATGAAGGCTACAGATTTATGGAAAACAGTAAATGCTGTTGGAGATTGACAGATCTGTTAAATGGTACAATCTGAAGGTTTTTTAAAGTCTCCAGTTGTTTAAACTTATCTGTAGCTGTTAGTTAAAAAGCAGACTGTCCAATCCAGAATAAGCAGCATCAGAGGAGCAGGAAAGCTGACATTTCGGGCCTAGACCCTTCTTCAGAGATGGGGGAGGGGAAGGGGATTCTGAAATAAATAGGGAGAGAGGGGGAGGCGGATAGAAGATGGATAAAGGAAAACATAGGTGGAGAGGAGACAGACAGGTCAAAGAGGCGGGTGTGGAGCCAGTAAAGGTGAGTGTAGTTGGGGAGTTAGGGAGGGGATAGGTCAGTCCAGGGAGGACGGACAGGTCAAGGGGGC